CCCACTTCTCTATTCATTACAAGCAGGCAGGTCAATACACTGGAGTATAATTATCATCAGGGGACCTCAGCCCCACCCCCACCTCTGTCTCACTGACTTCAAGGCCAGTGTAAGGCTTCCACCTAGAGCCCTGGACTCCCAGTTCTGAGTGACAACTTTCTCCTCCTCACACCCCCTTCTGCAGCTACTGCTTATTTGAATGAAATTTAACTTTTCTTTCCTTCTTTTTTTTTGTTTTGGCAGCTGGCTGGTACTGGGATCTGAACACTTGACCTTGATATTGTAACAGTGCCCTCTAAGCAGCTGAGCTAACCAGCCAGCATAACTTTTAGCATGTGTAGGAAGTGGAAGAGCCCATAGTGTGATCTTCTCAGGTCTGAGGCTCCCCAGGGGACCTAGCTCCCAGGAATTGAGTCTCCTGAAATGGATCCAACATTCACTTGCCTTAAACCAAGTTGCACCTGCACAGTTGTAGGAGGAAGAGGCTGCGTACCCAGAAGTGGGCACTGGAAAGGGAAATACTACATGAATTGCAAATTTTGAAACTTTTCTTGTTTTTCATGATGGAGAATAGTCAGTCACTTTGAGATTTTACAGCTCCAGTGCTTAATTGAAACTTAGACACAAATAATAAAGTCTTGCCTGAAAGTCAAAGATGACCCTATAATTCTGTTCTTCCCAATGACAAAGTGAATATTCTTCTATGAGATTCCAAACAGTGGAACTGAAATAAAGGATAAACCACAAAGTCTGGCGTGACTTTTATTATCTTTGTTGTATAATATCTTTGTTTTGTAAATGCATAGTTGAGTGTTTTATAAAGGGTTGTGGGGAGTTTTGATGTTCTTCTGTCAGAGTACCTACCAGTCAGTACTAGGTTAACCTCTCTTCCCATTAGAAGAAGGCCCTTGGAGTCAGGACCATGGTCATCTCCACGCATTGCATGGGTGCTTAATAAATGTGCCTTGATAGAATGGGGAATAAAAGAATGAATGACAAAGACTATTAATTATATTCTGATTCAGGTTTTAGAACTTTAAAAACCAATATGAATTCCTTAAGTATTGGAGTCTTATAAATCATCAATATTATTATTATTATTTTGCCCCTGGCAAATGAGCCATCATATATAAAATTACTAGCTCAGTGCTCGGCACATAATATATATATTCAATAAGTATGGTCTTTTTTCTTCCCACTCCCCATATCCCTATGCAATATAAGAAAAATCTGAAATCTTGAAGACTAGCAAATATGAAATTGTACTTGAATAAGCATGTTCCTCCTGATAACCTACTTTGTTTTCTTTTTCTGAAGTATTTTGAATTACATTGGCATGAAAATTAGGAAGATTTATACCAACAATTCTATGAGCTACAGTGTTGTTAACAGTCCTCTTCTCTTCTAGACGTAGTGAGTCTGGGCACATACAACACCTCTTAAGAATGAGTTATGTTTTATGCTAATATAAGACCAACATAAAATGTACCCTTTCT